ATAGAAAAAATATTGTTTTCTCCCAAACTCAAATTTACGACAACTCACGACAAATGTATCTTTCAAACATTCTACAAAGAAACCAAAATACTGATGTTGCTACAAGTTGACAACTTCTTGATATCCTCACCAAATGCCACTCTTGCAAATAAAACATATGACATCATTGGCAAGAAGTTGCAGCTCCCAAAAGAAAAGAAMGTTCCGTTCAAGAACCTTGGACTTGCTACATCACATCATGGYGTTAATATCAAACAAACAAAACACTACATTGAAATTTCTTGTGAAGACTATATTGACCACATTGCCSAATCTCATAGCTGGACGACACCCAAAGATGAATTGACTAGCCATCCAACTGCCCCTTTACCCAAAAAAGCACTTGATCAAATATTCAATGAAGATGGGCCACCTGAAGAAACTCCAGAACATRAGAAATTGAAAACTCAACATGGATTTGCATATCGCACACTCCTTGGTGAAATCCTTTATGCATACAATGTTTGTACTAGTCCTGACATTGGTTTTGCTGTATCAACTATGTCCAAATTTTCTTTGAACCCTTCCAACCTACATTTCAAATACCTCAAAGGTGTCGCTTTATACCTTCGATGCACTAAAACGTGGGGTCTACGATATAGCAAAACTRCAATCCTACAGGATAACGAACTTCCAGATGGAACCTTTGACAATTCTCTGATTCTTCTTCCAGACAATCTCTCACCATTCCCACCCTYACCTACTGATGCCACCATCACTTGCATAGTTGATGCTGCATATGCAAATATTAAGCCAAAGMAAAAGTCCACCGCCGGATTCGTGGTCATGTTAGCAAATGCTGCCATTGTGTATAAATCAAAAACCCAAACACAAACAGCGCAAAGCTCCACTGAAGCCAAATTCTATGCCGCTGTCTCTGCTGCAAAAATAGTTCTGTACCTCTGGTCAATTCTTGCTGACCTGGGATTTCCTCAACAACACCCAACAACGTTGTATGAAGATAATGATTCTACAATCAAAATTGTAAACTCAGGAATCCTGACTGAACGCTCATGGCACATCGACATACCATATTTTGCAATACAAGATTGGAGAAGAGACTTATACATCAAGATGCAGTTTATCAGCAGGAAAATCAACCCAGCCTATGCACTCACTAAACCACTTGGTTGGGTCCTTCACAATTGCCATGTACACCAACTCTTTGGGCATTTTGCCATTGTTCCACCCAACTGATATCCTCCTTCCTCGTCATTTCTTCTATSAMCTGCTCAATTTACACATCACAGATCACRGGAGGGTGCTGTCCGTATGATATCAGATTGTGGGTATGATTCATATTTACGACACATACATATGACATATACATAYGATTCATACACACTCTACATACTGTATGATTCACTTGATCCTATGGATCCATATTATCAACATGACTCAGTTGATTCACTTGCATGAGTGACTTGACTCATTTGATTCACACATCAAACAGCAACTTCATACTCCATGSCTGGCCCATTGCTCTTCTGTGAGTACATGTCTGGCTTGAAAGGCCAACCAAAGAACCTTTTTTGCAACTAGTTTCTCAATGCTTTCTTTGGCTACCATTGTGTCATAGCTGTTTGCATTGGAAGATAATTCACTGAATAACACAACCATACACAGTGGACATTCTACTGGATTGTTTGCTACAGTTAAAGGCATGTTAGGTKGACAATTGAAAATAGCTATCAATTGATACTAGTTGTGCAGAGTCTTATGATGAGTRGAAGTGCTTTAAAGAAAGCTCATTCCCATGGTAAGTTGCTTAACCAAGTAACTTGATGGAATGAAAAGAATAGTTTAGATCATAGGYTGGAGGGAGTTTGGGGTACTCTTAGTAGGGACCAGTAGGATTTTGAACACAGAATCAAAACCAAGCAATTTTCATTTTTTCTGCGGCGTTTCTACACAGCTTTTGTACTACAGTCCTCTCAAAATACTCATTCTGGTCCTCACTGAGTAGCTGAATCAGCAGATGCTGGTGTTTTGGTTACTCATACTAGTAGGCCCCAGTAGGATTTTGAATGTGTGATAAAAACCAATCAATTTTGACCAAAATGAGCAGTGTTTCCCCCCTTGCTGATTTGCATATTTTCTACAGCACTGCTTTGCAGCTTTTGWACTAACAACCTCCAAATAGACTGATCCTTGTCCTGGCTGAGCAGCTGGATCAGCTGCTGACCCTGAGGCATGGAGCTGGTACAAATTATACATTGTCAATAWAATAGGCTATAKAAAAGGCTCCTGCTGACAAATATATGTATATGTATTCATCATGAATATATATATTGCTTGAACCCCTTAGCATTGCAATACATATTATGATATCCATCAAGAATATCTATTTTACTAGGAATCATGTAGCATTGCAATATATAGTGTACCTTGCAGACGCACAAATTGAATCAAGCATCTTAAGTAAGCACTTGCTGCTACTGAGCTTTTCTTTGCTCTCTTTCAAGCTTTATGACATGGTAAATTTAATCACTTTCAGTAAGCTTTGGCAAACTGTAAAGAAAGACAGATGCCAGCAGGAAGATGCAAGACACAATGGCACCATGAAGGAACTAAGATCAGAGCTTAGTGGAGATCAAAGCTCCTGTTGCTGCTGATCAGTACATAGAAAATAAGATAATGCACAATAATTSTAGTAAATCATAATTTTCATACAATGGCTTGACAYCCATCAAAGAGTGGAGCAAAGATAGCATATGAAGAGAAAGAACCTCTCCTATTCTRCAACTATTTCTTACCTCTAGCAAAGCAGATTGCCTGCTACAACTTCTRRAGATACTTGAATACAGCATGAACTGAAGGTTGGAGTCCAGTTGACAAACCAGGCTTCATTTTTCATTGGAGACTTTCCAACTACATCCAAGAGAACATCAAACAAACAAGAAGCTGGCAGAAGATGGATGAGGTAAGAATAGATGGCAYTTGTTTTCTCTTCTCTGTATCAATCCRCACTCACAGCTATTTTGTTTTCAGAGAATTTAGTTGTTGGCTCAACATTTACAAAACAGAGGAATAAGATTAGTTGATCCATTTGAAAAGCACAGGAAGAGAGCAGTTGAATTGCAAGCAGCAGCAGAAGTAGTAGTCAAAGCTGTTGTTGTAGACAAACAACAACAACAACAACAACAACAACAACAACAACAACAACAACAACAACAACAACAACAACAACAACAACAACAACAACAACAACAACTCAANAACAACAACAACAACAACAACAACAACTCAAGCCCAAGTATCCAAACCTGCAATGATGCTGCACCAGTTCCCAGTTCTTTTCACAACCAGAAGCAGTCAGGAGAAGTAATGACTCTGGCCCACATATTGCCTCTTCTAGTTCACAAGCTTAAACATGATAATAAGTATTCTTTTTCTTGTTCCAGAAGTAACAACAAACACTTATAGTTTTTTTCATTAATTTGCTTCTTAATTCTTTCAATCCTATTTTATCCACAATACTCTTCCATCTCTGCACTCACTTAGTGGTGTTTAATTTGAGTCTTGAGAGGAATTGGGTTGTCTTTTCTAATTTTTGATTTCCAATTGATGCACAAAYCCTCAAAAGTGGTAGTCCAGTACACTGCAGCCAATACTGTAATGTGGTGTAGACACCAGCAGGTACAGACCAGCATARGTATATACAGACCACAGGTACAACAGACCACTGATTTGTACTGTAAGAGTACTACAGTAATCCAATTTTTGCACGGACTAGCATGTTTCAGAGACCCCCCTACTAAGTAAATGAAAAAATGAGGTATTTAAATAGGCTYAAAGGACAAAAATGAAAGTGGTACTCCAGCACCWTCCTACTATGTAATATGCTCTACTGCTACTAACTATAGCATTGCTATCATGAGGAGTTACTGGTAGGAGGACCCTGATGCAGAGGATACTGATAMAGAGCATGCTGATACAGAGGAGGATGCTGATATGGTTGACAAGTTGCTGATACAGAGGCTTGCTGAAATGGAGGACACTTGCTGATAGTATGGAGGATGCTGATACTACTACAAGTTGCTGATGTGAGTTGCTGATACAAGTTACTGAAGTGAGTTGCTGACACAGACAACGCTGATGATGACATGATGCAGGAGGATTTGCAGGATACAGGGAGGGACTGGCAGGGATAAGAGCCCATCCCCAGAAGAGGCAGCACTTGTAGTTCAGGAGCAGAATCCAGACGAAGGATAAGAAGGGAAAGAACCCACTCTCCTATCATCAGAGGCAATACTTGTAGTTTATTTGCTGAATCCAGGGATGGATTGGAAGGGATAAGTCCCCATTCCCCTATATCTGAGGAGGCAATGCTTGTAGTTTATTTGCCAGATCCAGGGAGGGACATGGCATTGCTGATACAGCATTGCTGTTACAGCGTTGCTGATACGGCATTGCTGATACGGCATTGCTGATAAGATACAGACACTGCTGCTGATACTATACAGATGCTGCTGCTTCTTATATGTCACAGTAAAAGCAACAGTGCTGATACAATCGCTGCTACTAATAGAAAAGTAAACTTACAGGAGAGGATGGAGGTCTATTCCCTTGGTCAAAGTGTTGGAAATACTGCAGTTGCTGATATTATGAGCAGCAGTGTGTATGACCCTTTATGCCACTAGTATGAGTTGTCCTTTGCTGCAACCTTTGTGCCAGTAGTATGAGTAATCCAATTATCACTTACTCCTCCTTCTTGACTACTACTACACTTCTCGTTTGATTTTGCTGCACCAGCTCTGTCTCAGATGACGTTCAGCTCACAAAAGCACCTGAGATCCCGACTTTGTTGGAGTTCGAATTCATGCTAGTACTTGCTATTGTTGTTGTAGTATGAAACTGCCAGAATTGGAAAAACGAAAATGAACCTTCGAAAAGCGAGGAATGGGACGTTGCACGGGACAATAAGCAAGTGTTCGCGTGGTGGTGGAGGAGGAGTTCAACTGTCAGTATTGTGTCTATTATCGCACAAAGCTTACAGCTGTATTACAAACTTGTTGACGAATGCTTTTCCAAGGTTTGCTATCTATTATTTCACGAGTACAACAAAKTCGCAATCACAAATACACGCGATAAGGTTTTACTAGTTCCTAAGGCATATTTTGATTTCGTTAGTTGTCGCGCAGAAACTGCAGCGTATTCTAAAAGTAAGATGCATGAACCATCCCAAGCCCATGGAATTACGATGACAGTCCTTGCACTTTCCCAAAGTGTCGCGGTGAGAATGGTTTGTCGATGTTTTTAGCCTTCGTCTCTTAAAAGTCGATAACCCATCGTTATTTGTATCTTCTTATTTGCACGTGACCAAAAGTAGTCGTTTCGTATTCCCCTTTACCAGCCGAAGACATCACTTTGAATATGAGTTGCAGTCGCCGGAGACATTCCTTTCGTCTTTTGTAGAACATGTCTTTCGCTTGGAGTTGTAACTTGCTGTCCCCTTTGAATAAAGGCGATCGTAGACWGCTGATGACCCCGCTGATGTTCCTGACTGCACTAGATTTGTTTTCGTTTTCAATACGGGCCTGGCACGATGTTTTTGGGATTCCTTTTTCTTGCTGATGATGGTTTTCGAAGTCGTCTCTTTTCCAGCGGATTGGCGCAATCTCGAGGATTCGGTCGATTTGGAGTAAAGTCGGTCGAAGACCGACGACGAACTTTTCGACGATGGACGGGTTGTGGTATACGTCATATTCTGTGACTTTGTTGGAGATGGATTTCTTTTGATTGAATGTCAAAATACACCAGGTACGAGGTAGTTCTTGTTGATTTGGCAACAGAGAGATCGGAAAGAATGACAAAAGCAACGTATTTTGTATTGCAATATTTTGTTCTGTATTGTGGTTTAGTTTCTCTCGCGGAGCTGGGTAAGATTACCTTACGGTACGGTTTCGTGTTCATACCTGTACGTATCGTACCGTGCTCGTGAATCGTCGTTGACAACTCCTGATGTCCTATTATTTTGAATATCCACGATTGTGTGGGGCTTATTGGGAACCTCCAAACCTGCCGGCGTTTGATTTAACAAGCCTGTCGGCCAAACGACACCTTTTTAGATCACAAAAAGGTGCGATAACAGATAACATAAAGATGCGTACAGAACGGACAAAACGAATAGCAGAGCCGTTTCGACCGAAGATAACTCTATTTATTTTTTTCATTTTACGTCTCCATTTTGCCCACTCTCCCACCCCTCACTGCTACTAGTAGGAAGGGAATGTCTGCACTTTTCACAATGGCTAAAGTAAACAAAAGTAAAGGAAGGCAAGAATCATTCTGGATGCCAATGATCCTGAGAATGTACCAAAAGTACTTGCCAAAAACTTACACAGCTTTCACAGGTGAAAAAAGCACGAGAACAAGGAGCAGGATGCCGCTTGTGAACAATGCCTTTTTGATCATGTTTGTACTTATGGTAATTAAGTAGCAAAGAATTAAAGCCAGAATACCTTGCYATCACTGAGAATTGCTCAGTTTCAACAACTAGTAGTAGAAGGCCTGGTGAGGAAGAGTTAGAAAAGTTGATTCAGGTAATAATGAGGATGCTCATAATACAGATAGCCGAGTAGTAAGCTTTATGGAATTCTACCATAGTGCAATCTTAAACTGGCATCACCACTCCTGTTAAAAAATGAAGTTCTTATTTGCCAAGAATRCCAAGAAACTCAACAAAATACTAGCAGATCAGGCAATCTCTCCTCCTAGTACTAGTACTAGCAGTACTAGCAGTTACTGCTAGTAACTACTAATACTACTAGTAGTAGTACTACTAGTAGTAATAAGTAAAAGAAAGAAGATGATGCACCAACCAAGTAATGACAATAATGAATCATGTTGAAACATGGTGATAGAATATATTATTCAGTAGAACCTCATGACTTAAAATTATTAGAAACAGGCTACAACCACCAGAAAAGAGGAAATTATGATTACTAGTACTACTAGTACTGGGTACTAACATCAGTAGTAATGGTACCAGGAAAGGACACAAAGAAATACCAACTAAAATATCAAAGCAGTAGGATGTAGTACACAATCTATGTAAGTGCATCAAGTCAGTGCATGGCAAGACTGAACTGAAAGAGTATGGAGAAATCAAGGAGAAGTACCCAAACAAACTCACACAAGGCAAATTCTATGAAAAGAAACTAGTTGTGAAGGTAATTCTCTTCAATGATCACAATAATCTCATCACATAGCATTAACATTTTTTGTCTTCTTGTTGAGGACAGAAAAAGAAGAAGCAGCCATAGTAGTTAACATATACAGTACACTAAATTTTAGAGTTGTTAATTATCCTCGTATAGCATTGGTGGAGTTATTCCAGCCAACCCAGTTGTACATTTTTTTATTCAGATATATAGACACGTACATCAATGAATATTTGTCAGACGACCTACTCCCCCACCACATTAGAAAGCTCTTTGAATTCTCTTTTTGACCATGTGCTTACCATACTTRAGCRTCCGTTGGGGGGAAAGTTATTGCTGTTCTTCGAGTGAGTATAACCTATCTTAATGCCCTACATGTTTTTTGTACTGTGCATCAATTTTGGGCCATCTAATTACTGTGTAATGACTTGTGGGATTAAAAAGTTGACTTGTACTAGGCCTACAGCATGCATGTGAAAGCAAAAACYATTTTGCACATGCGCAAAATTMTTTGGTTGCACGGATGTACACTGCAGTACAAGCCATTTTTTTAATCCCACAAGTTACACGGTAATTAGATGGCCCAAAAGGTACAATTGGTGCATTGGTTGCCACCTCTATATGATACTGGGGGGACACATAGTAGTAAAGAAGCAGTACAACAGGCAGCAAAGAACAAATTTGACAATGGCAGGGGACCAGTCACAACTAGAAGCAACAGCTCCCCCTCAAAGCAACAAATGGCCTCCATGGGCCTTGTGAAGAGTCATTGCTTTTAGAATATATGACACCCTCCTTCCTTTGCTGTACACATGTTAAACTCTTTTAACACCAGCAGTCTGGGAATCATACCAAGCACCAMAGATGAGATGCTCCATGCAATTCCAGAGCTTCTTCCTCCTGCAATACTTGCTCTTCACCCTGCCTTGCTCASCAGTWGTGAAATCCTTTGCAGCCTTCTTGTTGAGACTAATTCCAATTTCTCAACCATTCCAAAGAACATTKWGATCATTTTGACATTTTGATAGCTCAGCATTACCAGCATCAACATTTGCCTTTGGCTGTTCCTCCACAAAACTTCCATGGAGACAGGCACCTCTCCTCTGAGTAGCTAGGATGGTTCTTGCCAACATAGTTGCTCTTCTAGTTCACAAGGTTATACTAAAGATTTTTTCCAGTATCAACATTTCCTGCTTCAATAGTGCTGCTGTTCAACACAGTCAACACATGCTTCCTTCTTACAACCGATACCATAGCAGCTCTTTGGAACAGCTCAATTGCTTTATTCAGTTTCSGGTTGAGCTTTGCCTCACTTACAATTTGGCTATTCTTGATATTGTTCACCTTCACTGTAGCAAAGAGCTTTGAGAACATTGCATGATTCCACTGCAACTGAGTCCTACAAATTTGGAGAGAAGTCCCTCCAGGAGCTCCAAATGTTCATCCTCTGCCACCAATGGGCCCAGTACCATGACAATCAAGGACATCTTGATCAGCAAGCTCATCAAAGAGGACTTGGCCTCTTATCTCATTTGCAATGATCTCAACTCACTTAATAGGATTGACAACATCATCTAGCTGATCAGTAACTGGACAAWTAGTTCATCTAGACAAAACAATRCAACAGCATCGCTCTTCACATCCTGTGGAACAGTTGTTTGTATTGAAGGCTAAAAGTAGGCCCACAGCAACTGCTGTCTGTAGGATATCAGATTGTTGGGATGATTCATATCTATGACACGTACATATTATACATACCTATGATTCATACACACTCTACATATATGATTCACTCAATCCTATGGATCCATATGATCAACATGACTCAGTTGATTCACTTGTGTGAGTGACTTGACTCATTTGATTCACATATCACTCGATCTTCATTCTGATTGGTCTTAGATTTCATAGTTTGTCAATCCTTGATAAGAGCATTGACTCACTTTTCTTCTAGCRCATGATTTACATCACTATTAGATAGTCACTCCCACATTTCAATGCCCCATTGCCGTTTGTCATTTCCCCTTCCCTTTTCCTTTTGATGAATGTAAAGAGATGATGATGAAATAGAGTTTACTGAACCTAAATTGCATGCTCCGGTGCTCTGGAATGAACAATGGACTCGTCTGTAAGCTTTGGTTCCTTTCTCAGGATCAGCTGGTACAGTTTTCACAGCAGTGATAGGCTTACTAGCAAGATGTGATGTCTTTGCTCCCTGTTTCCCGTTTGAATCCCCAGCGGCCTTCTTCTTATGAAAGTACTTTCCAGGAACCTTGGTGGGCAATCTGTTCTTAGCAACAGTTCCCATCATCCCCAACCCTTGCTCACCCATCCAATCTAAGATGGAATCTGATACTAGGAAGAAATTGTCAGCGTTGATGTGAGGAGGAGATCTCCACAGCTTGCCCAATCCAATGTTAGCAATAACATAGTTTTCAACAAGGTGGTGAACTTCAGCAKKACCAGTGCAGGAATGCMTATYATCACTAGATTCCCATCCACTGTATCAATKTTTCCATGCCCTTGGACRGATCCRATCAACATCCAACATTAGGACCATTTGTCCACCTTTCATAATCATCTTTCCTTGCAGATAGTTGACAAGTGGACCACCAAAGCCTTGATACAGCCAGCTTGTTTCATCAATAGATAGGTCCAATCCCGCCCATTCAGTGAAATAATTTGTATTGTTGACAATAGTCTTGTAGATGTAGTCAAACTTGTAAGCTACGTCCCCACTGATGGGGTTTCCATGGTAGGTCCTTTCCAAATTSTTTTTGCACAGTTTCAAGTTCCTTTTAATTTCATTTACAAACTGGAAGAGTTTTCCAGTTGTGTTGTTGTTGTTTCTGACATTCGTGCCGGAAAGCAATAACACCAACCCAGCCCCAGTTTTCAATCCTATTGAGGAATAAAGCCTGGAGTATATGCTACATACATACTCTAAAGAAGATCCCCAAGCCTTTTCTCCATGCAGTTCCTACAGTATTCCAGTTCTCAAGGATCGAAAGCTACAGTGCTTCCAGTCATGATTGTTGCTGTTTCCGGCATTCGTGCCAGAAAACAACAACAACAACACCAACCCCAGTCCCCAGTATTCAACCAAGACCAATCCTTTGACAAACAACACCTGGAGTAGTATATGCTACACCATACATACTCAGTTTTCAACCAAGATTTCTCAGCMTCTCCATGCAGTTCCTACAGTATTCTAGTTTTACKGATCAGAAGAGTTTTCTGGTCATGTTGTTGTTGTTTCCGACATTTGTGCYRRAAGGCAACAACAACCACCCCAGCCGATACTACATCAATCAGTATCATTCCCAGTACTCCCCAGTATTCAACCAAGACCAATCCTATGAAGAACATTCCTTGGAGTATATGCAACATACATACTCTACAAGAAGATTCCCTAGTCTTATCTCCATGCAGTTCCAGTTTTATTTACAGACTGGAAGAGTTTTCTGGTCAAGTTGTTGTTGTTTCTGACACTCAGGTTGGATTACAATAGCAACAACCTTAGCCAATACTGCATACCAGCAGAACAGTATCATTCCCGGTATTCCCCCAGTTGAGTGAAGTTACCTCAGCTGGATCCATCCCCAGTCCTCAAGGACCGGAAGCTCAGTCCTTTCCGGTCACAATTGTTGTTGGTYCTGACACTCCTGCTGGAAAGCAGCAA